GTGGCTGAATCATGGCTGCAGAGAACATACTTCCACTTCTGGAAACATCTAGGCTTCATCATCTTCATTCTCTGGGTCATGTTTTCTACTTCAGTCATTCTTAATCTTTGAGTAGAACTCTCCTTACTATAACAAGGTGACAAGAAATGCATTTGTCTTCTATACTGCACTTTCTTTCTAAGCTATAATCTTATGCTTAAGTCATCTCACTTTGTTCTGGAGTGGGTGACTGAACAATTACAAGTTGTTTGTATTTTTCAGAACAGAAAACAGATTTTTAAATAAAAGTGAGGAAGAACTCGCAAGAGTAGGAAGGACTCCAAAGTTGGAATTCACTGGCATTCATTTAAAAAAATTTTATTACATTTTAATCATGTGCAAATGGGTGTGGGTGTGTGCATATGAGTATAAGGTGCCACTGGAAGGCAAAGGCATCAAACTCCTTGAAGTTGGAATTAGAGGTGGTTGTGAGTCACCCAATGCAGGTGCTGGAAAATGAACTCAGGTTCTCTATAAGAATACTACATGCTCTTAACCTCTGAGCCATCTCTCTAGCTCCATGATGTTCATTTTAATGTTTTATTCAATATGCTTAGATGATGAAATCCTGCATTTTTGGTTGTTTTGATGATTTAACTTTGATATTATGCAATTCTTCGTGGTTTTCTATTTGAAGTTTTATGAATTATAGTCAGGTTTGTGTGTGAGCATTTGTATGTGCGTGAGAGCATGTGTGTGTGTGAGCTTGTATGTGTGTATGTGTACATGCACATGTGTGTGAGCATGTGTGCATGTGTTTTCCTGTTTATGTATGTGTGGATACAGGGTCTCTTTATTGGCCTGGAGATCTTTGATTGGTTTAGACTGGCTGGTCAGGGAGCACTAAGTATCCATCTGCCTGTCTCTGTCTCCCTAGCTCTGGAATTGTAAGTGCAAACGCCATATCTGGCTTTTTAAAATGTGAGTTCTAGGGACTATAGTCAACTCACTTTACCAACTGAGCTGTGGCTCCATCCCAGGTTCATTGTTCTATAATTGAAAATTTCTCTCTCTGTTTCATGTTTTGTGGGTTGTTTCTTTCCCCAAGGACTGGCTTATGGAGTTGGTTCTCCAACTTGTGATGTGGTCAATATAAAATTGTTTGAGTGAAGTACCATTGACCAGCCTGGCAAGATATTAAGCCTGGTTCTTCCCAGGGCCTGAACAACCTCCAAACAGAACTTTCTGGTTTTCATCACTAAGAGTTTGGAGCCTTTGGAGAGACTGTGTAAACAAAGGAATATGGACCATTCATGGGGTAAAAGGTCTCCAACATGGAGAGTGGGGAAAAGAAACACCAGCTTGGCCAACAGACATGTTTTGGTTAGAGTTCTGGCTATAACTGGCAAAGAAACAAGTTTCAAAATATTTCTTCTCTTTGGGACTTTCAAAGTATAAAGAAATTGAATGTATATGACATTTATAACCTTCTTTCCATATGGTCTTTAGTTTGGTTATCTCTTACTATCTTTAAACATGCCATGTCTCATTTCTGTGGTGTATTTGGCAAATACTGTGTAATCAAATTCTTCACTAGTCCTCCCCCTCCTTTTTTTTGATATAGGGTCTCATGTAGTTCAGGCTAGCCTCAAACTTGCTGTGTAGCTGAGGTTGACATTAGGTTCCTGATCCTCTTCCTCTGCTTCCCAAGTGCTGGAATTATAGGTGTGCCACCATGCCTAGCTGAAGTTCCTTACCATGAAGTCCCTTTAGTGCCTGCTATATTCGTGTTTAGTTTTCTTCCTTACTGACAATGGAAACTTTGAATTGTTGACAAGACAGGATTTCACTCTGTAAGCATTGGCCAGTCTGGAACTCACTATGTAACCCAGGTTCACCTCAAACCTATGACAATTCTGTTTCAGCCTCCCAAGTGCTGAGGTTATAGATGTGAACCACCATTCCCAGCTATGAACTGGTTGAAGCAGGAGGTGTAGCTTGTCTTTCTTTTTCCAAACTTATGAAACACTTGTTTCATGAATGACACAAAGAAGTATGTAGATGTAACAGCGCCCCCCTCCAGCAGGAAGTAGTAAGAGAAGTTATGCCCAAATTCCCAAATATACCAAGCTGGCTTTGGAGATGTGTAAAAGTTAAAACCTTCCTCTTTAAAAAAAAAAATAAAGAAAAGGGGAAGTGCTGTGGGATGGTCTGTATGTCAAATTACTCTGATTGGTCACAAATAAAACACTGATTGGCCAGTGGCTAGGCAGGAAGTATAGGCAGGACTAACAGAGAGGAGAAAAGAAAGAACAGGAAGGTGGAAGGAGTCACTGGCAGCCGCTATCATGACAAGCAGCATGTGAAGATGCTGGTAAGCCACGAGCCACGTGGCAAGGTATAGATTTATGGAAATGGATTAATTTAAGTTATAAGAACTGTTAGCAAGAAGCCTGCCATGGCCATACAGTTTGTAATCAATATAAGTCTCTGTGTTTACTTGGTTGGGTCTGAGCGGCTGTGGGACTGGCGGGTGACAAAGATTTGTCCTGACTATGGGCAAGGCAGGAAAACTCTAGTTACAGAAGTAGGCACTGATTAATTATAAGTTGATCATTCTAATAATTTTACTCTTATCTGAGGAGCTAGATTGTCAGCTACAGTGTTAGGCACACTGCGGTCTACTTTCAGCTATGGTGCAATTCTGGTCTTATGTGATGTTAAAATCCACATGCAAGTGGCTGAAATGTACACTTAATAAGGAAGTCATCAAATAATTAATATTAGTAACACAATGAGCTGTCAATCATGACTCCAGTCCTGGGGAAAATGTTAAATTTCATAGGGAAAATAAATCCAGGAATGACTTTGTTACCTTGTACATTTAATGAAGCAAAGAAATAGTCAGAGCCAAATTCTCTACTTTTCAAATTATGTTCTAATAAGAAAATAAGAGGATGAAGGCAATCACTGGCAAGCTCAATTCAATAGCAGATTTTTCCTGGGTGAGATTGGTGCAGCTCTTGACGGGCTCTCCTCTCAATCGTGTCCTTTGACAGATGCTCCGGCTGATCTGGAAACTGCTTTGTTGTATTCTCACTTTGAAAATGTTGCTGACTTGAGATGAGACAACTTTGCCATCTACCACCTCCTCTGTGATGGTCTTCATCACATGTGTCTTGCTCAGAACTAAAAATCCCAGGACCAGAAGGTCCCTTGGGATGGCTGAGCAGGAAAAGACATTTGCTGCTATGTCTAATGACCTGAGTTTGATACCCCAGACTCACATGTTAGAAGGATAAAACAAACTCCAATAAGTTGTCCTGTCTTTTACACTTGTGCCATGGCTATAGAACCCTTACAAACATACACATACAAAAAAATGTAAGACAAATTTCACCACAGTCTATGACTAAATAAAAGTGAAAGACATGTGCTAGGGATACAAAGAGGAAGGAAAGGAAAGGAAATAAAAAAGACACAGAATAAACACATGGAAATGTTTTTATAAAGTCTTTTGTAAAAGAATTCTATGGCTAGCTCTTGAAATATTTTTTATGGCAAGACACCTCTTTCCAATCACCTTTTAAATTAAAAGTAGTTTTTAAAGAAGTAAAAATATTTATTATTGTTCTTTGTTGACTGGTTCATTTTTCCTTGGTGAAAAACCAATGAATAAATTATTAATTTTAGGATCATAATACTAGCCACAGAATCAGAAGTATCTGGGTAGTAAGCAGATTTTCAAGTGGAACAATCTCAAAGTGGTTGGAGATGTGCCTCCCTTGGACACTGAGCCTCTCTGGGCCTAATTCCTACTGGAGGCACAAAAGATGAGGGAGAATGGACTATCTAACACTTACAATAGCTTCCACCACTGCCAACCTTATCTTCAGTAGGCACAGATCCAATCAATTTAAAAATATTTCCTTTTTGGTCCTAATCATTTCAAAACTTTCCAGGAGCCAATAGATAAGATCTCCTGGGTAAACCATGAACATTGAGGGTGGGTGGAGCGGTGAGGGGGTGGATGAGAACATGAGGGAATGGGATGATCAAGTTGGGAGAGGGACAGAGAGGCAGAGCAATGAATGAGATATCATGATAGAGGGAGCCATTATGGGGTTAGGGAGAAACCTGGTTCTAGGGAAATTCTCAGCAATCCACAAGGATGACCCCAGCTAAGACTACTTGCAATTGTGGAGAAGGTGCCTGAACTGGTTTTCCCCTGTAATCAGATTGGTGACTAACCTAGTTGTCATTATAGAGCCTTTATACAATAACTGATGGAAGCAAATGTAGAGATCCACAGTTAAGGACTGGGCCGAGGTCATGGAGTCCACACAAAGAGAGGGAGGAGGGATCATATGATCAAGGGGGAGGTCAAGATCCTAATACGGGAACCCACAGAGACAGCTGACCTGAGCTAGTTGGACTTTATGGACTCTAGACTGACAGGTGGTGAATCTGCATGGGACTGAACTAGGCCCTCTGAATGTGGGTGGCAGATGTGTGGCTTAGCCAGCTTGTGTACCACTGCAGCGGGACAAGGATTTATCCCTAGTGCATAAGCTAGCTTTTTGGAGCCCATTCCCTATGGAGGGATACCTTGGTCAGCCTTGATGCAGCTGGAGGGACTTGGTCCTGCCTCAACTTGGTATGCCACACTTTGTTAACTCCCCATGGGAGGCCTTACCCCCTCTGAGGAGTGGGCCTAGGGTGAGGCAGGGGGTAGGTCTGGGGTAGCAGGAGGAGGGGAGGGAGGGGTAATTGTGGTTGGTATGTAAAATGAAAAAAAAAAGGCATGCACCACTACTACCCTGCTGTAATATCCTTTTATTACTTTTTGTTTTTTTGTTTTGTTTTGTTTGGTTTGGTTTTCATGACAGGGTTTCTTTGTGTAGCCCTGGCTATCCTGGAACTCAATTTGTATACTACGCTGGCCTCAAACTCACAGAGAT